ACTTTTAATTTTTATGATTAATATTTTTTATTCCCATAACAAATCTTCTTCTTGAAATGTCAAGGAATGTAAATATATGCAATTTATTATCCTATGTCTTATATTTACAAACTTATACTTAAGCAAATACAACACATTTTGAGAAGGTAATTCTGAGATTATTCTTTGAATAACAGAATTATAAGGTTTTTTATACAACAATAGGATTTTACTTGTTTGTATCAACAACATTCATTATCAATAGAAAAGTTATTTCATTCAAAAAATTTCAAGTTTACTTTGAACCAATGTATTTTTATTAAATGCATATATAATAAAAGATAATAATAATATATTTATTTCTTTTTTCTTTTTCTATGTTGATATATGTAATCAACTAGTTTTTTACGTTCCCACCCTGTTCTTCTTATAGCATCCATAATTTGACTTTCAGTTGGCTTTTCATCCATTTCAACAAGAGGGTCAAGTATATTATGTTCATCAGGCATGGTGATTTTTCTTTGTCTTTTTGAACCGTCAGTGTTAGATTCTGCATCTTGAATAGAAGAACGTTTTTTATTAGTAGATAAAATTTCTTGAAATAAACTATTATCAATTGAATTGGATGATGACTCTCCAGTCAAAGGGTTCGCTTGAAATCCACTAAAGATATTTGGGTTGAGAGATTTTGATGCTCGTTTTTTTTTTTTAGAGTATAATTCTTGTATATCTTCATACATGTAAATATTGACATTTCTTATTCCCCTTCCTTTTCCTTTAACAGGTTTTTTTTCTGTTCCATAAACTTCTTGTTTTAATAATGTCTCCATTCTTTCTTTTCCTATATTATAGCAATTAAAAAGCAAATTATAACCATTAGTATTCAGTTCTGGTGTCTTATCAAGTAAATGATTCTCTAAATTTAGATCAGGACTCTCAAAGATATCCAACAAATCATCCACCAATTTCCACAATGAATCTTTCCTTGATTCTACCACACGTTCACTTCTGACTTTTTCTTTTGGTTCCAAAAATTCAGAAACTAAAGAATTAATTCGCCATTGCTCACTTTGAGCAGATTTTATTTGTAATTTTAGTGTTTCATCATCCATTGGTTTTTTTGTAAGATACTGTTTAATAAATTTAACACCATACGTTTCTAATGCTTCATCGAAAGCAAAATAATGGTTAGCACCTGTTAAATTCACTGATGAAACATGTCTTAGAATTGAAGCAAGCTGTGGTCTTTCGTCAATTACTGCTAGAAAATGACAAACTGAAAATGCATAGTTAAATTTACCAGCAACTGCAAATAAAGGTGCAAATGCTGATAAACTTTCTATTTGCAAATCCCAATTGCCTGTCCTTATGCCTAATTTATGAGCTCTCCATAAACTAGTCCATTTCCAAAAATGGATCCAAACTTTTACAAACTCATTTGATGGCTTTTTTAAAATTTCATCAATTGATGTATGATTTTTATTTGTATATATATGTAAAGAAATACCAACAGCAGCCCATATTATTTCTAAAATTTTGCAACTTGCCCTGTAGTCTACAACCTTTTGAAAGTTACTCATAAATTTGGTACCTAGAGTAGCTGCCATATTAAAAATTCCATAACCTGAAAAAATATTAATCAGAACACTGCACATATCCTTGCTGGTGTGAAATTGACCAAGAATTGGTCGTGTTTGGGAGTTGACAGTTTTCATATATCGAAGAACCCGTCGATATATAGACTCATCTGATGCAATATCCAAAAACTCAAGAGATTCATTTTTAGTCAATTGAACTTCATTTGAAAACATTTTACAGGCTTCAAAAATACCTTCATCATCACTGGGATTTCCAGCCGCTTGTAAAATCACTACATTAGGTGGTGGTATAAAAGTACCTTTTGGTACATACTTAAGAATTTCTTCCTTAATATCTTTATCATCAATTTGATATTTTGAAGTTTCATGAATTAGTTTTTTAAAAACAAATTCGAAGATGTCTATTATTTCTAAAGAGAAAGAATTATAACCAAACAATTGTCTCTTTCCATTGGGTAAAATTAAAGCTCTTGTGTTAGTAATATTAATAATTGGAACAGGAAGAGTAAATTGAAACACCATTCTAAGTGTTGCATGAACAGTATTTCGAGAGTAATCATAAATATTACCATATTTAAAAGTATCTTGC